TGTAAACTTCAAGGGCTATTTAGGGATTACTTGAAGAACTTAGGAGGGAAGAGTGAACGGCCCTCTCTTACGACGAGGCCGCGTTGTGGTGTCCAGGAGGCAACTCCCACCATCTGAGCTCCCTCTTGGGTGTATGGCAGGTGGGTGTACACGCTGACCCTGTCCATGGTGGAGGTAAACATTATAATACTACTCAGGAAGTGTGCATGTTGATTTTTCTCAGTAAAATGATCATCAGTATATGAAGATGCTTGACCTGTGTGGTGACTATAAGATGGTCTCATTATATATTGTTCTAACGACATTATAATATTATTACCTACGCAGAGTTAGTGACTAAAGGAAAGAACCATGTATTACCGGGTGTGGCGCCAATTTTATACTAGGAGGCTGGCCATGAGTTGTTTATATATACTGTATTACCTGAGGTTGGGTGGTGTGTCGTCCAGGTAGAGCAGGATGGTGTTCATTGAGTATATTACCTGAGGTTGGGTGGTGAGTCGTCCAGGTTGAACAAGATGGTGTTCATCATGGAGAAGGTCCAGTGGGAGGACAGGAGGGAGTGGAGTTTTGGGAGTGGGAGGCTGGTGACCACCATCAGCTTGGTAGCCCACACCAGGAGGCGGCCCTTGAGAGACCACTCGGCGAAGGTGGCGAGGAAGACCGGGTCGTGACTCACCACCACCACCAGCACACACCGAGACCCCATCCTCACCTGCGACACATTGTACACTGTTAACTCGTAGCGTTAACTTCCGTATGGTTATTTAGATATTCAGTACCTCACTGTCAAACCAGTTATAATTAAATGACGGATGACCTGAATATGTTTTAGTCTTAATTATATTAAGTGTAGTCAAGGCTAACATAGTCAGTAAAAATATGTTTTCATTTAACAACATTATGGAAATTTTATAACAATTAGCTATATATTTTCAAAGACGTCTTTATTTAAAGAGAACTTTCTTGCAGCCCAGAATTGGTGTGAAGATGGTTGGTCACGAACAGAAGTACCGTTCCGTAGGTAGGAAGTTCAGTTGCCAGACTCTCTTGTGCTGTCAGGAATCAGCTAAATAAATCTGGTTTATTCCACAGACTGATCAAGCGGATCTCTGACAGAACGAGCGCCATATATGGATCAGTTGGAGGTCTGGTTTAGCTGAGAGAAGGACGAGCCAGTTATGTCTATTAAAAGTGTTTTGAGTAGTTTGCTTATAGAAGTTAGTGGAATAGGTAGGAGAGTGACCAACTTGTGGATCGAAGGGGTAAATTGAAGTCCCTGTAGAATGATTTACCTATGGAACCTGGTAGAGCAGATGGAGGGTGGAGCTAGTGGGAAAGTGACCTACCTGTCGAGCCTGGTGGAGCAGGTGGGAGAGTGACCTACCTCTCGAGCCGGGTGGAGCAGGTGGGAGAGTGACCTACCTCTCGAGCCGGGTGGAGCAGGTGGGAGGATGGCCTACTTGTCGAGCCTGGTCGAGCAGGTGAGACTGGCCTACCTCGAGGCCGGGTAGAGCAGGTGGCAGAGTGACCTACATCTCGAGGTTGGGTAGACCCGGTGGGAGAGGTGGCCTACGTGTCGAGCCGGGTAGAGCAGGTGGCAGAACTACATCTCGGGCCTGGTGGAGCAGGTGGGAGAGTGGCCTCGTGTCGAGCGGGTGGAGCAGGTGGCAGTGACCTACATCTCGAGGCTTGGTGGAGCAGGTGGGAGGTGGCCTGCGTGTCAGGCCGGGTAGAGGCAGGTGGCAGTGACCTACATCTCGGGCCTGGTGGAGCAGGTGGGGAGGTGGCCTACGTTTTCAGGCCTGGTGGAGGCAGGTGGGAGAATGACCTACATCTCGAGCCTGGTGGAGCAGGTGGGAGAGTGGCCTACGTTTGAACCTAGTGGGGCAGGTGGGAAGTGACCTACCTGTCAGGCTTGGTGGAGCAGGTGGGAGAGTGACCTACCTGTGGGGTCTGGTGGAGCAGGTGGGAGTGACCTACATCTCGGCCTGGTGGAGCAGGTGGGAGGTGGCCTACCTGTGAGTCTGGTGGGTGTGGGTGACCTACATATCGGGCCTGGTGGAGCAGGTGGGAGGTGACCTACCTGTCAGTCTGGTGGAGCAGGTGGAGTGACCTACATCTCGATGCTGGTGGAGCAGGTGGGAAGTGGCCTACCTGTCGAGTCTGGTGGAGCAGGTGGGTGACCCATCTCAGGCCTGGTGGAGCAGGTGGGAGGTGGCCTACCTGTCAGCCTGGTGGAGCAGGTGGGAGGCCTACCTGTCGGCCTGGTGGAGCAGGTGGAGGAATGACCTACATCTAGAGCCTGGTGGAGCAGGTGGGAGGTGGCCTACCTGTCGAGCCTGGTGGAGCAGGTGGGAGAGTGGCCTGCCTGTCGGCCTGGTGGGCAGGTGGGAGTGACCACCATCTCGAGCCTGGTGGAGCAGGTGGGGAGTGACCTACATCTCGAGCCTGGTGGAGCAGGTGGGAGGTGGCCTACCTGTCAGGCCTGGTGGAGCAGGTGGGAGGTGGCCTACCTGTCAGGCCTGGTGGAGCAGGTGGGAGAGTGACCTACATCTCGAGCCTGGTGGAGCAGGTGGGAGGTGACCTACATCTCGAGTCTGGTGGAGCAGGTGGAGGTGGCCTACCTTGTGCCTGGTGAAGCAGGTGGGAGGTGGCCTACATCTCGAGCCTGGTGGAGCAGGTGGGAGAATGACCTCCATCTAGAGCCTGGTGGGCAGGTGGGAGAGTGGCCTACCTGTCAGGCCTGGTGGAGCAGGTGGGAGAGTGGCCTACATCTCGAGCCTGGTGGAGCAGGTGGGAGAATGACTACATCTAGAGCCTGGTGGAGCAGGTGGGAGAGTGGCCTACCTGTCAGGCCTGGTGGAGCAGGTGGGAGAGCAGCACCAGGGTCTCGTTGGCGTCCTGGTCGTCCACCACCACCAGAACACCCCCACACCCAGGGCTCCCTCGTACTACACTCTCCTCCTGAGATAGTGTAGGAAGTCTTAACCACATGATAAATGTAATACAAAAGACGTAAACCAGATAAACACAGTTATATCTAGATATAACAAAATAATTTATTCCGTAGAACCTTGTATTTTGTTAGATCTGTAAAATCAAACTATTTCTGAAGATACACGTTCGCTACAAAAGGATGTTTTATAGTGTTGACTGGTGAAGAAACGCTTTTGAAACCAGAAAAAAAAATCATACATAAAAATTAGTATTTTAGCATAAGAACATACAGCAGGTGGAGGCTACATAAACAATACAGCTGGTGGAGGCTACATAAGACCATATAGCCAGTGGAGGATACTTAAGAACATATAGCAGGTGGAGGCAACATAATAACATACACCAGGTGGAGGGTACATGAGAACATACAGCAGGTGGAGGCTACATAACATACAGCAGATGGAGGCTACATGACATACAGCAGGTGGAGGCTACATTAGAACATACAGCAGGTGGGGGCTACATTAGAACATACGATAGTAATCTCTATGCCAGCAACTCAGACCTCCATTCCTTGATGAGAACTATGAACACCGAATTAACTAAAGTCGGGACCTGGGTAATACGTAATAAACTGACCCTAAATCTTGGAAACCCACAACATGATCTTTCACAGAAGAAAAAACTTACCTCCAGATTTGAACCCCCTGTACCTTGGTAATATAGTCCTCAAACGTGAACAAAATACTAAATTCCTCGGAGTTATTTTTGATGAGAAACTTAACTGGAGAAACCACATACAAGCCATACACAGTAAAATCAATAAACATTGCGGTATCATGTATCACACTCGACAGTCACTCACTCTCACAGCAATAAGAAATTTATCATGATCTTGTTTACCAACACCTGATACACTGTCACACACTATGGGGGCCTCTGGCTCTTCATCTCTGGTTACTGCTCAAAGAGTTGTACGGACAATGACCTACTTGAAAAAAACAGATCTCACTAACGAAAATTTGCTATATTAAATTTTTAAAATTCGAATATTAACACTTACTGCTGTGCCTCTTTGTTTACAAATCTATCAATCATTTGCTTGACAATAATTACTTCCAGCTCCGGAATAATCAGAGATACAACAAGCACCCAGAGCTACTAAGACCACCCCCAAGCGCTCCTCCTCTCAGTCCCAGACCTCCATAAAATATCATGGTGTGAAGGTATGGAACAACTTACCCCACCCATCCGAGCAAAGACTACGCTCCTTCCTTTAAATCATCTCTAAAAAATATCTATTGTCGAAGTATTAATATTTCTTAACACTTACTATATTTACAGTACCTGCTTTTATTGTACCACCAAATCCGTTTTATCGGAAAATATCATGTAAATAAATAGGAATTACCATTGAATACACATAATACTAGACATAATCCTCAAGCTCTGTCCTCTTGTTCAACCTTATTACTACAACAGGTTGTACTGCTCCCCCATTATACTTATGTTTTAAATTCCACTCTAATTTATATGTATATGTGTGTGTATGTGTGTGTATATGTGTATATATATGTATGTATGTATGTATATATGTATATTTATATATATATATATATATATATATATATATATATATATATATATGTATATGTATATATGTGTATATATGTATAGGTATGTGTATATGAATAAATAAAAAAAATAAAAAAATAAAAATAATAAATAATAAAATTAATAAATATTGAAGTGATAACCGTGGAAACACTATGAGATGTACTTATTACTACCATGCTATTGTACTATTCCAGATGATACTAAATGTTTCATAATACTTCTTTGAGATAAATGTATAGTATATATCAGGTGCCTCAAAGAGAGCTCAAGTTCTCAACTGGCTCAGCCATGTTAAATTATATTATCCCTCTGTATCTGTATTTTTCTGGCTAAATAAACTGTTACAATTCAATTCAATTCAATTCAATTCAGCAGGTGGAGACTATATCAGAACATACAGCAGGTGGAGGCTAGATAAGAACATACAGCAGGTGGAGGCTACATTAGAACATACAGCAGGTGGAGGCTACATTAAGACATACAGTAGGTGGAGGCTACATTAGGACATACAGCAGGTGGAGGCTACATTAGAACATACAGTAGGTGGAGGCTACATAACAACAAACATCACCTTGAGGATGGTGGAGGGTGAGGTGGTGCCATCTGTCAGGAGGATCAGGGAGCAGGTGGGCCGAGACACCGCCTCCAGCACGGCGCCCACAGCACCACCAGCGACTGACAACTCTCCTGCCACTAACTCAAACGGGTTGATTAAAACTCATTTATTTCATTGATTCTCCCTAAGATCGCAACTGATTTTGTTAAATAATACTGTGGGTAGATATCTAAATTCTGGCTAGATTGATTCTGCGTCGTATTTTTTTTATTGGGATCTTATCCAGTATTTATATATATATATATATATATATATATATATATATAATATATATATATATATATATATATATATATATATATATATATATATATATATATACATAATATAGAAATTCGCTTGTGAAGAAATAAGTCAAATTCAATATGACAATACGAGTACATACGAGTTTGATCCATATACTGTACAAGTGCCTGATATCCTGGTACAGTATAAGGTTGTTTATCAAACTCCGGTCATTACGTATGGTACCTGAGTGTGGAGGCAGCGGGAGGACGGTGTCGACGGCGAGGCTCACCATCATCAGTATTATTTTCCCTGTGTTGATGTTGCTCAAGTTGTCACCGAGCATTATCTGGAATCACACAGACACACAGTAGGTCAGTGGTGGCCATTCTGTCTCTCTGACCGTGGGCCAGGTTCAGTATATGCCGGTGGAGATCTGGGATGTCATTATATATATATATATATATATATATATATATATATATATATATATATATATATATATATATATATATATATATATATATATATATATATATATATATATATTCCAGTTTCTCAATTGTGATGTGTACATTATATATCTCTTGCAGTTTTCATTATATAAGTAAAAGTCATTTTCCTTAAACTGCTCATCTATACAATACTAATGTTTTGTACGTCATCTTCATATGACCATCTTCTACTTCATTCCATTATTCATGTTCACCTTAACAGGGTTGATCTTTAACTGGAGTTCAGGAAATTATTTTTTCTCATTTCTGAGCAACATATGTACATCGTCTCTCTCTTGTAATGGTTATGAGTGTAAGATAACCTGAGGGCAGAAGTGGGACAGCGTCTTTATGAACGCACCACAATACAGCATTGAGACAAGAATATATGTGGGATGACGCAACACATAGTCACGTATATACATGGCAAGGCAGTGGTGGATATCATGGCACAACACAGCAATCACTCAAGGCATAGCACAACAATCACTTAGGAATAAACATTGCACGACGAAGCAGCCAGTCACTCTAGTGTGCTAAGAGTTACACCAATCGGTTAGATAGAAATATAACATGACATATCAGTCAGGTGTGCTAAACGCCTCAACACTCAAGTCACTTGAGTACCCAACATGATGCAGAAATCAGTCGGTTTTGTGTGAACCGTGCAAGACAAGTGTCCCCCATAAAGGAAACACTCTAACTCCGACAACCACATTTACTAACACTTACACTAACCTCGCACTCAAAACCACTGTAAACACCACTGTACAATAATAATAGCTAAAATGAGGAACAGGACTTACGCTTGTGGAATTGTTGAGTCACCTGCACCACGACCCGCTCCTTACTGTCTCATACACTCATGCTACACTCTTATTTATGTGGCGTAACCAGCACACACACACGGATGACTTCCTCATTGATTGTGTTGCCACCGCGATCCGTTTCTTTCGACAAAATATTATGTCCCTGTAATTTATTATATCTTATCCTGCCAAAGACAACGCTTGGGTGAAGCGCTGTGTGACTGACGTTGCTGCGGGTAATCACAACTTATCGGTGGTATTTGCTGTTATGATGTAATAATGTACTTTAAATATAAAGATTATCTTAAGTGTAAATCAAACTTTAGATACGAAACAAATATTAAATGTAATACAAATTTCTTACAAAAGCAGTTATGACAGTATATGTATATGAAAAATAAATTGATCATAAAAATAATAATCTGGTCAACAATAAATATAACCTAACCTTTAAGTAATTGCGTATGGCACATACGCCACTTTATATACCTGTTAATATTATACTTGGTGGAAGTTTATGAAAATTCACACTAATATAAGAAAAAATTTTGTTTTACTTAGATAATTATTTATATTCCGATAAGTTTCTGGGAGTAATTGAAATCACCATTTTCATATAAAGAATTATTAAATTTATTGAAAATAATAATAAAATTTCAACATGTATGTAATAAGGGAAATTACTATACATCACTTTACAAAATATAGCATTATACAAAATATGTTCGAGATTAACAACAAAGTCTTAATAATTAATTAAAGAAATTATTTTTAATTTTTTGTGCACAAATAAACACTCACTTATAACATGCATAGTGTCTCACTTATTGACTTTAAAACAAATATACAATGGAATGACAAAATTACACAATACATTTGGAAATTTGCTGGTTATGATAAATTAAATTTATGAAATTAAAAATTGTTCGAATGGCTAAAGAAAATTCAATCGTTAAATATTTCGTAGAGACCATACAGGGAGTTTTATATTGACTCTTATAGAAGCAGATAGAGCAAAAAGTAAAACAAATAAAAAATACATTATAACAGGAATAATTTACTCTATATGGTTTCTGTCGAGACCACTAATACCGAAACCTTTAGAATTAGAGACAGATCGAGGGCGAGACCATTCGCAATTTTGGCACTTAGGGACATCTGAAATTACCCTCCAATATAGTTTTGGGTGATTAAACTTCAAATTAGGACACCCTGTGGGTGCAATTTTCAGGTGGCTACTAAGGTCCACTTTTACCTTTAATTATCCCGACATAGCCTCAGGCAAACTAGCCATATATAAATAGTCAAGACAAGTGACGCTGCTCATCTTTTTCCTGTTATAGAAACAGTGGTTTAGCCGGAATCCATCGTTCACAGCGATGAAAGGAGCAGATACATTTTTTGGTAGCCAAATACTTTATTAAATTATAGTCCATAAATTCCCGTAGTATCTAAGTGTGAAAAACGTATCTATGAAATAAACCTGGAATATTTTTAAAGTTAGAAGTACAGTATAAAGTTTCTAGAAATGCACTGAAAACTGGCTTTGTTAGTATTGCCTACGACACATAGCGAATGGAAAATTATGACTAATTATTTTCAGTAATCAGTTATCTTTCATTTGTTCATATTACAATATAATTTTAAGTGAATAAGATTAAAACAACTTGAGTGTTATTGATAATTTTCCTTTGGTGTCGCAAAAGCTATACAGCGAGGAGTTCCACGAAGAAGGAGACTCCAGCCAAGCCGAGGCCCAGGAGCAGCAGCATAAAGGCTCCCTGCAGGTGTGTGATGGTGAGGGACCTCAGGCTGCTGTCTGACTCTGTCTCTTTTTCTGTCTCCTGTTGCTTGTACCTCTTGCGACTCTCCATCTGAGCTTGACGCAACAGGTCGTCGTTCCATCTCTCGTACAGTCCAGCCTGTGGAGCACATGACATGTGAACACCTACACTGGTCCCACACCACGATGGACTGACTGGCCTGATACACGTAGTCAGTCTGCTATCATCCAAAACCTTTTTGTGGATACTTATGCGTCATAAATCTCAAGAGTTGTTACTCTTTGGTCAATAAATACCATTCCCACCAACTTGCTTACTCAAGGTAAAGTTGACTTTATCATTTCCACATGAAAAGATAATCGTGTTGTGTTTTTGTAAGTTGTTTGACAATTAGCATAGCACGTTGGTATGTTGAGCTATATTTTCCATTTTATGGAAAATAAATTACCTTCTAATTCAAGACGATATTCTTTACGGGTTAGGTTACTGACCTCAATGACGGCCATGAGGCAGCGGTCCAGGACAGGTCTAAAGGGAGCGTCATGTGGGATGGGCCAGGCCGCCATGCCAGGACTGATGCTCTCCTGGCCGAGGTATAACTTGGGGGTTCCGTCCGCCCCAATGAATCTCTCCGCTATCTTTAGTTGCTGGTAGCGTCCTGCGTCGAGGTGAGCTTGTCTGCCATAACCCCAGATAATATTAAATTGTTGGCAAAAATGATTGATGGTGTTTGTGTAAAAGCTGAGCTATAGATTAACTGTGAATGTGATCGAACATCTGGAGAGTTAAGAGCAAATATAGTGTCTTGGCTAAGAGACTTACTATCTTACAGGCTTACAGTCGAGTCAACCTACTTTTTTCACGGAACTTTTTGGGTATTATTGTAAAGTGCTGGTGTATTGAAGTGAGAATTTGTAAGGTTTCCCAGAAAACTCTAATCTCCCTACTAAAAACAGTGACTTACTTTTTGTCAACCGCCTGTTGTTGTCCGACATTTACTGATGGAACGATGTGCATCAGTTGGCCCAGTCTCTTGAACAACTGTGAATTTGACTTGCTGAAAAAATTTTTGAACTCTATTCCATACGGTTGCATCGTTATCCTGTGTTTAAAGGTAGAGAATATACAATATATATTTTGTGAGAGCTAAATTATTTTGATATTAAAGAATATTTCCTTATGTAGAGTAAGTCCATTACATATACTATTCAGGTATGTACTAAGACACGTGAACACTACCTATCTGCAGTATTGATAAGGTCCTGCATTGTCTCGGCACGGGGTGGGTACTTGGGCAGCGTGAGGAAGGCGGTGAGGTTGCCACGATAGGCAGACCCGAATATGAGGGCGAACATCAGCCACGAAGCCACCAGTACACGGCTGGAGATGACTGTGGGCAGCCGTCGTGGCAAGTTCTGTCCTAACAGCATCCCTGTAACATCCTGCACCACCGTTCCTGTGGCTACCCTATCCCCACCATCCCTCCATTCACCAACACGAATAATCTGCAATAATAACAAGTTTCAGTATTAACAACAATTTATCCTCGTATTTACTTCATTTCGAGTTATTTGGTCCTCAGTAACTGCCAGTTTAGCTCCCTGTCATTTATTGGTCTTTTGATGTATACCAGATTGCACTGTTGACCTCTGGTGTAGTGCATAGCATTGTTGCCTGGCAATTAAGAGTAGTGAGGTGTTATTTTTGTCTTTTTTCTACATTTGCCTTTTTCTTCGCCGTTCATGGCAAAGGAAAATGGTTAACCAGTGCGGTTGGGGAACTGTCTGGTCTTCCCGGGCTATCCCTTTACAATGACCTACACTATGTGATTGTTATGATTTCTACAGCCCCTCCCTCTTAAATTCTCGCCCAGCTGTCCCCTGAAGACGAGGTACTGTACATCTGTTTCTTGAGGAAGTGTCTAGGTGAAGTGGCATTCTGGATTATCCAATTAGTAAAATTAGTTTCTAAATTCATGTGTTATGATAATGAAAATTTCATCTCCGAATTTTTTTGCAATCAATATGTAAAGTAATTTTACAATTCTTATTTTACATCGCCTCGTTTTGAATGCCAGAAAACGATGTAACGAAATACTGTAGGTATTTTGCACATACTATCGTACGTTTATAAGATATAATGTACATCATACTATGTTGCAGTGAAGCGTAAATTTTCTTAAAGGACAAATTAATTCTGTGTTACAGGACACAGTAATACAGAATTAAAATTTGTGTTATATATTAGCATTACGTAACTCACCAGCAGCAGGACCACAGGGGTGAGCAGCAGCGCCAGCAGGACGGCCGCCCACACCAGGTCAGTGAGAGGGTAGTAGAGCGACTGCCACTGTGGCTTGATACCCGGTTGGGCCATACTGAAGAAAAGGGACTCGTACTCGTACACCCATGAGTAGTCGTAGCGTTCAAGACGTCCAGGTAACACGTTGTGGAGCACAGTGGCCATGAAGGACACTCGTTCCTCTACACGCTGTGTAACCTGCAGCCATAATATTGTTAATGATACCATAGACCAGCATCTATGTATTAGGGTTGTACACTGAGTTTTGGTGTGTTTTATTAGATATCATGTGTTATGAGGATCTGGATGTGGTGAAATGTGAGACAAGTGTCATACAGTCTAGGCGTGAGTGTACAAAAGGAGGTTATAGCATTGCGTAGGATAGGTTGGTCTGAATGAGTGGTGCGGATGATGGCTGAGGTTGCGGGTGTTGTATTGCGTGGATATGGCAAGTTTCAGTGTGGCAGGTAATAACGTGCCGGTTTAACAGCCTTCTCTTGCTCACCTCTGCCCACGAGGTGGTGGGCACGACGTTGATAGTAAAGTTGAGGGAGTCCGCAATTGATTTTAACAAGAAGTAGTCGGTGCCAGAGTACTGTTTAATGCCATCAGGTCCCTCCAGTTCGTCCCAGTATGGTGGGAAACGCAGGGCAGTCACGTTGACCTCGGCACCATAGAAGCTGAGGGTAATATCGTTCTCGTTTATATGTTAACTACTTGAAAGCGTCACCACTCCTTAAAACTATAACGAAACAACATTTTGCTCGTAACAAAGATATATTGATAAACTGTACATCGCATACTCGACAGTGTGTGAGCTATGAGAACCCGGGTTGTGAATAGTAACTCCTAGACTTTGTGCTTCTCTAAGATTATACCAGTAGCAGCTGCCCTGACCTACATCATCTAACTCAAGCTTGGGATAGTCAGTAATCCGTCCGTAACAAAAT